TATACATATATATATGGGTTCATTTTATTTAAAAAAATTTTATTAAATTTTTTGTGTATTTTATACAGAACAGCTAAAAAATTCTTAATCCTCTTTATGCCTCCATCCCCAGTGGCACCCTCTCACACAGCCCCACCCCACTAGAGCCCATATTCTTGGTCATCCCTGTCAAGGCCCACTGGGTTGTCAGTGTCCCCAGCTGTTCCTGTGATGACTAACTCTCATAGCTTTGGAGAATAATATAAAGATGCCAAGGGAAAACATCAATGGATGATCCAACACCAGCTTCAAGACCAAATAACCACATCAGTGGCCAGCACAGCACATGTCATTGGTACAGCATGACTCTTATCTTGGGGGCATTCAACAGCTACCTAATATATATAAACTTTCTCATTTGAGGAGAAAGAGTATAGACTTCAAGAAATTAATTTATTCTCTAGGTGTGGAGGGGGTTACTGGGGATTGAATTCAAGGGTCTGGTTTGTGCTAGGCAAGTGCTCTATTACTGAACTACATCTGAAGTCATTAACTTGGGTTGTTTTACAAAGACAGTACCAACTATACAGCTACCTAAACTATTCTAAAACATTAACTACAACCTCTTAATTCTTGGCCTCCCCAACACTGGTCTCTTACAATAGAAAGCTTTCAATATAAGGAGTCAATCAGAAATCATAACAAAAAGCTTCAGTTTTCTTTGAACAAACTTCTTGACCTAGAGACAGCTGACCTCTGTTTTGCCCTCTCAGGTCTTACTCCAGTTCTCATCTGCCTACTCTTCAGGGTAGTCTAACTATTCTAAGACTAACTAAGGACACGTACATGACATGTTTCAGTAGATAAATACGTTATATACCTTTGAAATAAAAAGCTACAGGCTTCTTGAATATACTCCTGGTGAAAGTACAAAAAGTTCCAAACTAATGACCAAACTGAGCACTGAGAGGCAAAATCAGAACTTCTCTCTCTCTCTCTCTCTCTCTCCAGTCCTTGTCCTAATATTCAGGTTAGAATAATCTCTGTAGATATCGAAGAAGACCCTCCTTAGAGTAAGGAGAGTAAAGGGACCTAAAGGAAACTTGTATGGAATTTATTAAAATTCTTCCATACTAGGCTATGGCAGTCTCAAGCAAGGGCTAGCCTTAAACTCATGGTGTAGCTGAAGCTGGTCTTGAACTCCTGATCCTCTTACCTCTACCTCCCAATGCTGGGGTTACAGGTATGTACCACCACACCTGGTCAAAACTACTTTAAAAAGTTTTTCTTACATTTTATGTGTGTGTGTTCAGTGGAAGAGTGGATGACTGGAGGAACCCCTGTGCCACAAAGTTGTCATAAGACAACTTGAGGAAGTCTATTCTCTCCTTCTACCAGTATGTCCCAAGGGATTGAACTCAGGTTATCAGCCTTGGTGTCAACATGCCTTTACCAACTGAACCATCTCACCTGCTCAAAACTACTTTTTAAAGATCTCATTCAAAGGGAAAGTCTTGGAGGTGGTGGTGAAGCTTAGTGTGTACTTAGGATGCATACGACCCAGGGCTCGATCCTCAGCACAAAACCAATGTTTTCCATGGAAAACCACACCACTAAAAAGTCTTATAATCTACACAGCAGTGACTTGATTGCATCTTACTTATTACCAAAACAACGAGTCATGAGGGATATCACAAGCTAAGTTTCGTATGAACGTCTTCCTTTCCTTGCCGCCCTCCCCACCTCCTCTCCTCTTTTCTCTCTCTCTTGCTCTCCTTTTTATTCTTCTTTTGGATTTTTGAGACAGGGTTTTGCTATATCGCTAAAGTTGTCACAAGCTTGAAATTGTCCCTGCTTCGGCATCCCAAGTGCTGGGATTACAGGCCTATGCTACCATGCCCAGCAAAAAGAATGGTTTTTGAGTTTTAAAAATTAAGGCAAAAAGTTGATTGGTAGTAACAGTCATCTTCTGACTTACCATACTCCCTTTAGCTTTTTATAAAAAACATCAATAGGTTAGAAAGTTTATGGCTTTGATATAACATTTTGAAGCACAAATAAAATGCCCTAAAATGTCCACTGAAGATTTCTGGGTTGTCTGTAGAATGTGATACAAGATTCTTTAGCTCACCTCCAGATGCCTTTGACCTTTCTTTCAACTTTTCTGCAGCCATTTCACTGTAGCTGGGAAGTTCTGACATCTTCACTCCACATCGAGCTTCTGCTATTAGCTGACGAGCTCTCTCTCTCAGCTGCCGATGCCGCTCTTCATCTTGCTGCTAAGATATATTGAACAGTTGCCAACCCAGTAATTGACAGAAATGCAATTTCATTTTCAATCTGATCATCATGATAGTAACTGGTTTACAGCATGGTGCTTGGCCCACATTATAAATAGGATGCTCTGTATCAGCTGGATGTCAGACCATTTTTAAAAGACATCTTAGAATCAGATTTTTAAAACATTTACAAATTATTGTAGGAAAATGCCCATTAAAATTCAAATTAAATAATATTTGGAAATTCAGCTACTGAGGAAGTGTCAGAAATTATTAAGAGAACAGACTTAGAGAAGGAAGTCATAATAATCAGAATAGAATTTTAATTAAGAACTTATTTTTTCAAGAGTAGGGCTTAATTTGCTATTTTTAAATAAAGGCAGAGAGCACTGTCTAAACTGTCTAAAAGATATCTCAATACTATAAAACACAGCAGCACATTACAGGTCAAATATAGGAATTGTATTTTTCCACAGAGTTATTGTGAATATAGTAGATCAGTCTATAATTCTAATGAAATTCATTTGGTTATCCCTTCTCCTACATGCACACTAAAAACAAAAACACAGTAAAGTCTACTACAAAGGGGTTGTAAAGAATTATAAACAGGGACAGGAGAGATGGCTCAGTGGTTAAAAGTACTTGTTGTGTAGCCCTGAGGACCTGAGTTCTGATCCCAGAACCCATGTAACAAACCAGATGTGGTCTCCTGCACATGTGTAACCTCAATGTTCTGAGAAATGGACAAAGGTTTTCTATGAACTTGCTAGCTGCCAGTCAAGATGAAAAATTCAAGATCTATGTGTAGGAAGAAACCCTGCCTCAAAGGAGGAAGGTGTAGAATATAGAGGAGGGCATTTAATAGAGAAAGGCTCCTCTGGCCTCTGCAAGGGTATGAACCCATTCACATATGTGTGTGTGTACATACACACACACACACACACACACACACAGAATTGCAAGTACAACAGGAAACTGCTTTGTAAATTTTTAATTATATAAAATAAGGCAAAGACTACAATAATATGACTTCAATATCTTTGCAGTTATCTTCCCTAACATATCCTAACTCTCACAAAACCTCACGCTGATTCATGTAAAATTGCTTGTACCATGTAGCCTTATGTACCTGAGGCTTCAAATATGTCATTTCCTCTTCCTGGAAGAAATACTCTCATACTATTTAACTTCTACTCAGTTTTGAAGATTTAGCTTAAATGCATTAAGCCTCCTCTTGGACTATCCCATTCTCTTCTCTGGTAGATAAAGCAGTCCTTCCTCTGTTACTGTAGTAGCCTGTACGTGTGTCATCATTGCTGTTAACTGTCAACTTAGCAGAATCTAGAATCACCTCTGGGTATGTTCATGAAGGATTATCTTGACTAAGCTAGTTGAGGTGGTACTCACTGGGGTGGCACCATTTCCTGGCTACCTCCTGTGCTGTATAAGTGGAGAAGGGAGATGAACAACATGCACGCACACATCATTGCTCTTCTGCTCTGAAGCCAGGATGTGAGCAGCTGTTTCAAGCTCTTGTTGCCTGGACTTCCCCATCATGATGGACTGTACTCTAATGAGGAACTGCAATAAACCCTTTCTCCTTTGAGTTGCCTTTGTCAGAATATTTTATCACAGCAACAGGAAAAGAAACTAAGATACACATGTATATTTTTTGGAAACAATATATAAAGTTTCATTTTAACTTCAAAGAACTGCTTCCTTCCAATTATATTGACCTACTCGAGGGCAGAAACTACATCTGATTTATCTCTGCATCTCTTGGTCTTTGTCTTTCATATCATGCTAAAAATTTCAACCACAAGACTTTACTATTTATACTCTCAAAAAGCTTATGATTATAGAGGATATAATAAAATATCTAAGCCAAGGAGTTATAATCAATATGATGTAAGAGTTCAGAAAACAGTAATAGTGTTTTGGGTTGAGGGGCAGGCAAAAGGCATGGTAGTTTTTGAGTTGGGCCTGAACAATGATTAGAATAAGAAATTAGCAGAGATTAGTACTGCCTGGTTACAGCGATGGTGCAGGCAAGAGTAGCAGTCAGGAACAATACAGAAGCACCAGCATACGGAGGAGATACTAAAGCAGCAGGGGTGCGTGAGTGTGTGTGCTTAAGGGAATGACCAACCAGTTTTGAAAACGATTAATCTAGCCACAGTGCCTTGCATAGGTTAGCACAGAGGAACTGGAAAGACACTAACTAGAAGGCTTATTAATAGCCCAACAAAGCTATGATAATATTCAGAAAGAGGAAGAGCTACTAAAGGGAATAAAAACAGAGATGCAAGAAATGTTATTAGAGGTAGAATCAGTATCTGTACCAATTTTTGGTTACAGATTAGATGTGGATGGAGGAAAGAAATGATACTCCACGGTTTAAAGTTGAAGAGGTAGTAGAACTATGGACTGACAATAAACACAGAAAACTGAATATTGTATAAAACACATGAAAAGATCAATAAAAGTATATATTGAAAAAAAAGAGAAAACTGTAAGAAACTATAAGGAGGGAGAGGGGTGAGTAAGCTTGGAGGAAGACAGTGGCTTTGAAGAGATGGTAGGGCATCTAAGTTAAGATTTTAGTTGGTCATTGGGAAGTGACTCTGATGCTGGGGCAGAGGTTAAACTAAAACCTCTTCAGGGCTGTGGATATAACTCAGTATTTGAGCTCCTGCTTAACAAGCCAGAGGCCCTGCTTTTCAATCCCTAGCATGCTCACTTGAAAAAAGAAGATGATCTTAGCCTTCCTCACAATCTGTTCAAGTCTCAGCGGAGAACTCAGACAATGTGGAACAAAGTATCCTAACTCATAAAATCTGTGTGCATAATACAAAGATATTTCTTTTACAACAGTAAATTTGGGATATTCTGTTACATAGCTATAGTACTTGGGGAATATGCTTAAGTAACACCACAATAATTAATTTTAGTCACAGAGGCAAAACTTTATATATGGAGAGATCAGAACTGCATCAAAGACAAGAGATTTTTGATCCAGGAATTGTCTTAGTTATCATTAATATTGGGTCAACCACATGTCATATGTGTTTTGATGTGAAGCATGTGAAGTGTGCACTACCTATAATATTCTATACAAAGTGATTAAAGTGAATCCACTAAAGCTTTTAGAATTTCCACTTTATACAGAAACACAGGGGCTAGAGAAACAGGATATATCATTCATCAAGAAAGCAACCAAACAAACCCAAAAGGAGATATTCAGGATAAATGACCAAGTCCCTTGAACACATTAGATCTAGAAAAACATCACACAACAATCAACCAACTACCACCACCACTAAGTTACATATTAGTTTGGATAAATCAATGGTAGAAGATGTTGTTCAGTGAATTAGAAAAACCTGAACATGATCACTGTATTAAAAAAGCACCACTGAGAAAAGTTTATACAAGGAGGCCGGAGAGATGACTCAGCAGTTAAGAGCACTGGCTGCTCTTGCAGAGGACCTGAGTTCGAGACCTAGTACCCATATGGCAGCCAATACCTGTCCACAATTCCAGTTCCTGGGGAGCCAATGCCCTTTTCCTGACCTCTGTGGCCATTGCATGACAGGGGTGCAGTTACATACATGCAGGCAATACACATAAAAATAATGAGTAAAATATTTTAAAAAGTTTATAAAAGAATAACTTCATTTTGTCCAAGTAAATACATGTAAATATATACATCCTTGAAAAAAAGTTTTTGGGAATATACAGAATTGTCATAATTGGGATTTCCCAGTTAAAAATGTGGTATGTAGCAAGGTGAAGTAACTTACTGAGGCAGACGTGGGAGGGTTTTGAATTCTAGGTGAGTTTGGGTTACACAGCAAAACCCATCTCAAATAACAAGAACACCACAACAGAGATATTTCACTTCCTTTTAATTGTTTTAATTTTCTATAACAAATGTACTACTCCTGTAATAAGAGTTATTTTAATGTAAGAACCATAGGACAAGGGAAGGAGGGAGAGGAGATGGTAAAACTTCCGGAGGTGGGGATGTTGAAAAGGCAGACAGGTCTAACATTCCAGGGAAGTTATCTTGGCATTTGGAAACACAAGCTCATTTGTAGGCAGAGTAGTGTGCAGGGTAAGACTGAAGATATAAAAGAAATAGGCAAAAATCTTTCATTTACTATCAGTCCTTCGGAACTTGGAAAATAACTATGAATAAGTGAAAATGTAAGCCTGATGATATTTTAATAATAGTTAATATTTCCAGAGCTTTTAGGTGCAAAGTGCTTTATATACATTATCTCACTTAGTTCTTACCACCACCACCACCCACCTTTTTTTAATCAATGAGAATATTTAGGTTTCAAGTGCCGAAGTCACACAACTAGCACGGTGTTACATCCAAGAATCCAACCCTTGTCTGTTTGATTCCATAGACCTTCCTCTTAACTACTAAACTATTTGATACTCAAAGTATCAAATTATAATCAGATGTGCAGTAAGTTGGGCTGGAGAGATAACTCAGCAGTTAAGAGCACCGGCTGGTTCCATTCCCAGTACCCACATGGTGACTAACAATCCTCTGTAACTCCAGTTCCAGGGGGATCCAACACTCTCTTCTGGCCTCTGTGGGCTTTGTACATGGGTGCACTTACAAGCAGGCAAAAAACTCATACACATAAATTAAAAATAAATTTTAAAAAAGCAAGCAAGCAGGAAAACAAAATCATGGGGGCAAGAGATGGGTCAGCAGGTAAAGACACCCAAGTTCTATCCCTGGGACCGTCATACCAGATAGATGTCCCCCAATCTCCATAAGCATGCTGTGACATGTACTTACACCCCACTGCCCCAAATAAACACACACAGTATAAAAAGAGAAAAATTCAAAACAAAACAAATCCCCAAAGATCAAATTACATGACCAACTGAAGAAAACTGAGCTTTTATTAAACTTACAACTTTCAAAATTTAGGAATGTGGGGATCAGTAGTAAGAACCATTATTTAGTATGCCTC